AGGTGAGGATCTTTTTTTTTCCCCCTGGGATAATATTCGTTCATTATTATTTCCCGTATCCATTTCCACCGTCCTATCATATCATATTTTCTGATTTTTCTCCTTGGAACTAGGTTCTTTTGACGATAAGCAAGGTTCCTCTTCTCTTTTGGCTGGATCGGGGGAGCACGACACATGGAATACAAAGCCTCCTGCCGTGAGATGGTCAGGGGAATCTGCTTCTCCTGCTCTCCCGAATGTTCCTATAAATCAAGATCTTTCTCGATCTCCAGTTCGTCTCCGTCAATATGAATCGCCTCAGTCAAACTCAGAAATCCCTCGAAGTTCATCACCTTTCTATACAATGCCCCGTCAATCTGCTGTAGGAAGGGGCCCGTCGTTGAGCCAGTCACCTAATAATAGTAAGCCTTTTTTGGATCCAGCCTCTGCTGCGGGTTTTGAGAGTATGGATTTTCCGAATGGTCCTCGGGGCCGACCAGTTGAAATCGGGCAGGGGTTTGGGAGTCCAAGATTTCCAGGTACTTCTACGTCTACTGATACAAGTGACCGGAGACATCTTGTTCTTCCAGCTATTGACGATGAGGATCCGGCTTCTCAGATGGCCCGGGGGCGTGTTGTTTCAAATCCGCGTGGACCGGGGGCTGAAGCGTTTGGGTCAAGTGTTTCATCGGCTGGCCGTAGCGAAAGTCTACCTCCTCAACAAAGGGCCAATTCAACTCCGCCTACATACAACCCAAACCAATCTCCTCCGGATGCAGTTGGTGGTTATGGAGCCTACACCCATGTCCCTACCTCCCACCCGGCCTCACATACCCCGAATGCTGGGTCCTATCCAGTAGCACCTGGGAGATTTGCAGATTTGAGTCGTGATACCCGAGAAGCTGAGATGCTTGCTCATCTGAGGCAGATATCGGTGGATGATGATCATGACAGATTTTCGGCCTCCCGTGAAGGGGTATCTTACAGTCGGTTGAGCCAGGCCCTCACTGGGCATCCTGCCAATTTCAATTACCAGAATCAGCCACCGTTTGGCGAATACCCATATCAAGCCCGCCAAACAGTCCAGGCTGTTGCTCAAAATTCTATGTGGACTCCAGATGATGGGAACTATCCTCGTGGGCAGGAGGCTTACAATAATACTGAGCAATACGCAGATGCCAATTACGGTGAGGGTTATGGTGATATTCGTAGACCTTACGAGCGTGTCGGTTCCATGTCCCCCGGCGACCAAAATGGAGAATATCAAAGAAGAAACATGGGGAGCGCTTATCATGCTAATGGCAGCACCCCGCCACCCCATGGTTCCGATTTTCGATCTTCTTCCCGCGGCCCTCCAATTCGCACCCCTCCATCCGGGCAGTTGACCCAGTTGACCCCAAACCACGAAAAGTTACGGCAGCGTCTGCTCGTTGCTCCGCAGCAACAGCAGAGCCCTCACATAAACCAAGGTCAGCTAATTATGCGAGATCAACTTTATCGCAACCAGTATCCACCACAACCACCTTACGACTACGCTTACGGTAACGGAATCCGAATGCCCATGGCCTCCTACGCTGGCTCCTCGATTAGTCCTATGATCGCCCCAACCCACCCAGCAGTTAGAAGGCCTGCTCATGAAGACTTCGGACACAATTTGAGGAGTGTTCTCCTCGAAGAGTTTCGCGCTAACTCGAAGTCCAATAAACGCTATGAGCTCAAGGTAAATTTGGGGTGTTTGTTTCGTTCATCGCTTGCATTGTCTAATGGTTGTTAGGACATCTATAGTCATGTTGTCGAGTTCAGCGGTGATCAGCATGGCTCCCGATTTATTCAACAGAAGCTCGAGACCGCAAATAGTGATGAGAAAGAGACAATTTTCGCTGAAATTAAGCCAAATTCTCTCCAATTGATGACCGACGTGTTCGGGAACTATGTTATTCAAAAGTTCTTTGAGCATGGGAATCAACTTCAGAAGAGTATCCTGGCTAAACAGATGGAGGGGCATGTGTTGACGCTTTCCACGCAGATGTACGGCTGTAGGGTTGTTCAAAAGGTATGTACAAGCTATTTAGTGATCTTCTTTAACAGCAAGTTGACAACTACTATAGGCTCTCGAGCATATATTGACGGAGCAGCAAGCCTCCCTTGTTAAGGAGTTGGACGGTCATGTCCTCAAGTGCGTAAAAGACCAGAACGGCAATCATGTGGTTCAAAAAGCTATTGAGAGAGTACCAGCAGAACACATCCAATTCATCATCAAAGCTTTCCATGGTCAAGTCCATACTTTGGCGACTCACCCCTATGGGTGCCGTGTCATCCAGCGCATGCTCGAACACTGTGACGAGACTGCACAGGCCTCGCTGCTTCAGGAACTTCATGTTTGTACTATTGCGCTTGTGCAGGATCAGTATGGGAATTACGTTACCCAGCATGTTATTGAGCATGGAAAACCCGAAGATAGAGCCAAGATTATTAGCCTGGTTACAACCCAGCTACTTCCGTTCTCAAAGTATTTATCCTCGGCCGCCTTTTTTCTCTCTTTCGGTTTTTGACTGATATACTAACTTACAATAGGCATAAGTTCGCGTCGAATGTTGTTGAGAAGAGTATAACCCATGGGTCAGACGAAGAGAAGCGTGAAATTGTCAAAGTTGTGACTACTATCCGTTCTGACGGGAATTCCCCTCTACAGATCCTTATGCGGGATCAGTATGGGAACTACGTGATTCGTGAGTCAAATACCCTCTAGAGGATTTTGGCGGTGGGATCCATGGGCTAACAGTCGCGTAGAGAAACTTTTGACTCTACTCCAAGGGCCGGACAGGGAGACTTTGGTTGAGCAGATTAAGCCTCAACTCCAAGCCTTGAAGAAGTTTACTTATGGTAAACAGATCAATGCGGTAGGAAACCAGCCTTCAAGCAGGTTGCATGATCAACACTTATACCTAAGGCATGAACAGATTGAGAAGTTGATTTACAACTCCTCTACCCCTTCACAAACTGCCTCCCCCCCTCCTGGTTCTGCGCTTGCGACCCCCCCGTTGTTGACTATGGACGTTCAGTCCCCTGATTCGTCGGCTCCGCCGTCTACTGAGGCAAGCACGACTGAGGAGCGTCCAGTCGTCGATAAATCCTCTGAGGGAACCAAGAAGGAGGCTAGCATTGCGCCTTAAGTAGCTGTCAAAATTTTGGCCGTCCTTGTCAAATGTACAAGAATCGGTCACGGGATGTCTTCTTTTCTTCTTTTCGAACTATATTCATTTTTTTTTCCAATCTTCTCTTCGGTACATTTCATTTCATTTTTTTCTTTCAATAGTGACGAAGTGAAGACATTTATAATCCCGTGTTACAAATACCCCTTTTTTTTTATTTATTCTTATACTTGGTCTTATTTCAGTCCCCCATTTTTTCTCAATAGTTTTTGTTATTTACTGTACTTGAACGTCATACAAAAATGAAGCGGCATTGGTGGGGTTTCTTGTGGGGCAAAATGCTTGTCTTTTTTTCTGGTTTCTTTTTTATGTCTTATGGGAAATGCTCTTAGCTGGTAATCTTAGCACAAGGGTCCGGTTTGGTTTGGGTCATTTTTTCATTCTTTTTTCCTTTCTGCAAGATTAGTTTTGTATCTATGAGATGAGTTCGAAGCTCCTCAGCTCCTCACATCGCACGCCCATTACCCCCTCACCCTTCCCCTTTCCCTGGTAAAAAAAAAAAGTGGTGTTTTTCTTTCTGCTTGGTTTGTCGGTTGGCTGGGTTGGCTGGGTCGGTCGGTTGGGCTTTTTGTTTCTCTCACTGGGTGTTAAATGTTTTAGGTCCTTTTTATTCTATATTTGATTCGGTTTATTTCACTCTAGTCTGATACTCATTCATGGCGAAAAGGGGTTTTTTTTTTCTTTTTTTTTTATACTTTGCTACAACGGTAGTTTCTCAGGCGATAACGGAATCATGGATTTTTTTCCTTTTTCTTACTGCTCTTTTCCTTTCCTTTTCACGAGAATCCCCTTCCCTCCTTCTCCCACCCCCTTGTTGCCAAGTTTGTCGTTATGATATATTTTATTTAACTATGATATTATGATACTTACTATATCCCCTCCCCGTACTCCCCCACTCTCCCTATTTCATTGCTCCTTTTTTTTCTTACTTTGCCATTAGTTGAAGTACATAATATTATGGACCCCCCTTCCTTCCTTCTTTTTATCCTTCTTTCCCGTCTCGAGCTTTTTGCATGTATTTTTTTTTTTCTTCCTCTTTATATTTGGAGTATCGTATTATGCTAGTATGATACAGTACTGGCGTCATCATCATCAAAAAATTGGTCTCGGGATTTATTTTTCCATTTTTTTCATTATTATATTATGACAATTGTGTGCTCAATCTAGGTGCGAGATAAGAACGAATGAAGGAATAGCCTTCAAGTCATTGCCCTCCCTCCCCTCTTTACTTGCTTTTTGATATTCTAGGGTGCCGGTATAAGCTTAACTTGAACATCTATTCGCCATCCAAATTTATCTTGCTTTTTTTGCTTTTTTTTTTTTTTTAATACTAGTGCCTTTTCTTTCTTTCTTCATTTCAGTTTGGTCCTCTTTGCGAGTGATTGAGCTTTTTCTTTCTCTCTCTTTTCTCTTTTCTTTTTCTCCTTTTAGGATCGCATTGGATGACTGAGTGAGTGCTTTGGTGCCATATTATAAGGGTTATAAATTGCATTGTCGGGCACCAGTAGTAATGGGGAATGAATATATTTATGGGAATTACGTTTGATATCCATCTAGTGGGCTTTTTCTTTTCTTCCCCTTTCTTTTCTCCCCCCTTCATGAAGGGGCTTGGTTCGGTTGAAGTGTTTGAATACCGTAGTACAGTACACCGTGGATGCCGGTGGACTGACGCTCAGTGTTTATGTGAGGGAATATCTACCACATATAATGGGCTGATTATGATGTGGTAGGTAATACTTCGGGGATGATGGATGAGGGTGATGATGATGATCTTGGATGTCCTGGGGGGTAAAAAAGAAAAAAAGTTAATGAAAGGAGGGGGATTCGAACCCCCGCGGGCAAAGCCCATGAGAAACCCCACTTTCTGAAAGTGAAGAAGCTGAACGCTTGAGTCACACGCCATAACCACTCGGCCATCCTTCCAGTTGTACGTACTGAGCATAAGTTGGCATATATGTAGCTATGATGAATCTGTAGACAAGTTTTATGTTTCTGGGATGTCACGTGTAGCTAGGGTGGGGTTGTATTGGGGGTACATTCTTTTGTTTGGAATATTATTTTAACGTGGCGTAGACAGTGTAATCCTACTCTTCGAGGGTATTTAGTAGATCTCCGGTGACAAGTTGGAGATTTAGCTACGTTAGCGATCTGTGGGGGGGTTTGCCTGACAGCCCTACCCTGTTGCCTCCCTTGCTTAGAGCGAAGGAATCTTACTATTCAACCGATCTGGGTAAGATTTTAAAAACTGGTCAAGTTATGGCGTAAGTTGATGAGACTGAGGATTCCAATTCTAATCTCACATGAATGGCTCTCTAGGCCTATCAGATACTCTCGTTGCTTTGATCATAAAGGTGGTAAAGTTCTCATTTCCCCTAAAAATATTGACCTTAATGCTCTGAATTGGAGTATTAACCATACTGGTGCCATATTAAAGGTCCAAACTGCAAGTAAGTTGGTAGTGCTGATAAACTAGCTGACCGAACCCTAGGAGGAAATGAGGTTTGTAATGCTGTGAAAGTACTGTCCTGGTATCTGATTTAGAATTTTGCAAGCCCACCCGTAGTGCAGTGCTTACTCAAGGGCTTAGGGTTACAAATCCCATGGTCAAGTCCTTTCATCGATCGGTTATTTATTATCCCTGTGCAACAAAGCAACGCAACGCAACTACCTCAAGATACAACCTAAACGTCACTTGGGTTATCCTCACGGTCAACTTAGCGGGGGAAAAAAAAATATTTCTAGCCATATTCCTATACCCTTTGGAGCAAATAATACAAGATGTCAGGCACCGGCGCATCTTCTGGCTCGCTCAACACGGGAGCCTTAGCGAGCCACCTGAACTTCCCTGGCCTTGATCGTATCAATATCCGCAAGCGCCTCGCGCTACAAGACCAGCAAGAGAATGATCCTGACGAAGTGGTTTATATGGATGAAGAGGGTATATCACTTCTCCCACAGCGATGCTGCCACCCTACATAGCTTTAGCGGAGAAACTAACCTCGAGCAGAACAGGACAGGTTAATCCAACAACTAAAGTACGAGGATTCTGGCAAGAACGATTTCTTTACTGTTAGCCCTCCATCCTCCCTTTCCTTCCTGTATATATGTATATATATATATATGTGTTAGAAAGAAGGAACTGACACATCCCGCCCCCCCAGAAATTAATCTTCGTCCTCGAAATCGCCCAACTCCCTATGTTCTTTTTCCGCCTATGGACCGTTCCAAACTGGACGGACCTCTTTAGCATAGTATCCATGATAACCTCCGCGCTATGCGTCCCCACCACGCAAGGATTTGAAGACAGGAGCGAGCTCGCCCCGGAACCGAGGTGGGTTCCAGGCGCTATTAGACTGAACTTGATCCTTTCTGTGATGATCGCGATGGCCACTCTCTTGAAGCATTATATCCCGCCTGAAGGCGTAGAGGTTACGTTTCACATGGATGCGTATGAGAATATGGGGCTTATTCCTCTTGGTAAGTTCTTTTTATTTCTCCGAGGGTGGGTTGAGGTTGGTCATTTCTGTTAACTTTTACTGGGATGGTTAGTGCTTTGGGTGTTTACGCAGGTCACTAGGAAGGCTTTGAGGGCGGTGGATACTGGTTCTTTGGAAGAGCTGCGGTATAGGTATCTCGGGGCCTGATTTTGAGGGCGGCCTTGTCGTTTCTGTTTTTGCTTTTTTGTGTACGCATGGGGGGCTTTTTTTTAGTAGTCTGGATACCGGTTGCGGTTTCGTTGTGGCTGCACTTCAGTTCTTTGTTCTCCTAGCCCAATAATAGGAGTAACTTCTTTATATTCTCTTGCTTTCAGAGGTTTCCGGAACTCTATGTTTACATGACCGTTCCTGGAGATCTATCATGCCAGTTTTCAGTGATCACCTGCCGTTTGAGTTGAGCGCGAAGTTGCCTGTGAGCCGAATCATGTTTCATGAGCGAGTGATCGTGAATGATTTGAGAACGCTATGAAAAATGTTGGAACTTGTGCTTGAACGTCGCCACCCTATTTACTTATAGCTGCTTGCGTTCCATTCAAGTTACCTCCTCTTTTACTTCTTCTCCTTTTCCTTCTCTCTCTTCCCCTTTAGCTTGCTGGGTGGGAAGCAAATTAATAGCGGCCTCGCCTTCCATAAATCCGCCGACGCACAACTTCTGGACATCGTCTTCTTGGTATATCTAACGAAAGATGTTGGGTATGGGTGATCTTGCTTTTGTGCTAGCATTGGATGGTGTCTCTGGAGGTCTATGTAGTGATGTCCGTAATGATTTTATGGGTATCCTAGGGTGCTAGGTTCCGCTAGGCTGATTGGTACTCCTCCCTTATTTGAAAAAGGAGTTTGGGGTGGTATTCTAGTGCATAAGTTGGAAACGTGATGTGAGGTTACAGAATTCCTTTTTAATCGGGATTTAATCCTAACGTGATACTTGAATGCTCTTGTAAGAAGGGGCACAAGCTAAACGGCAGCACTCACTGATTCGAGCCTTAAGGCCGGCAATATCATTGCATGATTCATAAGCATGGCGTTAAGCCCAAAAAATCAGATTGCACCTTACCTCCATATACCATTAGAGTCAATCAAAACCAAGCGCTACCCAAGTACATCCTCTGATCCCACCAGCAAATCCCTAAACTAGACTACGGCTTCTTACCCTTCTACCTACCCCCGTTAAGCTCTCTCTCTCTTGTAACCTTCACTTCTGGCCCTTCCTCAAGCTCTCCACAGCAACCTTCTCCGCCACTAGGTATATAATTTTAGCTTTCTACTCACTCTCGATGGCGTTCTTTGTTTTTCCCTATAGGCCTCTCTTTTGGGCGTCCCTCTCCCTCACAGCTTGAGGGCCTCCGTTCTTTCGGCGGGGCTTCTTAGCCTCGCTAATCTTGCCCTTGAGGTATTTTCGCTCTCTTCCTCTCTCCCTAATCTGGTTTGAGAGCTCTGGATGTCCAAATTCTGAGCCTCTTAGTCAGGGGAGAGCATTATTTGTACAACGGCTCTCCACTTGTGTCAGGGGGCTGTAGGTATGGTGGGGGATGGGTTTTGTGTTTCTTCAGTTGCCCCAGGTGAGGTGTAGCTCTTGGCTCGAACTCGGGGGTAGGGTGGCCGGTAGGGGCTAGAGGGGAGAGGAAGAGGTGAAAGATCACTTTGTAGGGTATGTGTTTGTAGCGCTCATCGGAGTTTAGAGAGGGAGATTGGGGGTTTGTACTTGTATCAAAGGCATCCACATACGTATAATATTTGATGTTTTACTGTTTACCCGCTGAGGAGAATTTGACTACCGTAAAAACTCGTTAAATTGGGAATCGGGGATCGGGCCCTGAGCCCTCGCAATCTGCGATAAAGCACCTCGAGAAGGAATAGTGTTTGCTAGACAGGGTATAGCTTGGGGAGGATGGGCTTGTCGGATCTCGTTAACTGGTATTTGTTATTTTATTAACCTGCTCTGCTAAGCCTATTATGCCTTAGCACAAGTACTACGGTACAGTACTATCCCATCGAGATCTACGATACCAAATTTAACGAGTTTTTACGGTAGGGCTTAGGGAAAGTTTTATTGGAATTTACATTATTCTCGGTCTGAACAAGGATTCTAGTTATGTCTCGTCCGATACCTCGTTGCTTTAACGGCGCTCGTTTGTCTGTAATGCGGCGGATTAGTTATCAGGAGAGGGTGGACGGTTGTCGTGTTGGGCTTCTCGAATGGCCCACTGTGACTGAGTTAGCAGCTTTCGATTCTAAGGGACCTTGGACTGACTCTTGGAATCACAGATTATTATGTCATGCGCAATTTGACTGCCGCGGCGTACTACCAAATTTCAAAAGTATCCGGATGGCCTGGCGCCAAGATTTTTAACCGACTCCCCCAGAGGAAGCCTTAAACCTGTACCTAAACTCCAGCTACCAGAGCCTTACATCCTATAACCTACTCAAAAGTCAATTAAAATATCACTCTACACTCCTAATCTTCAGCTTATCCTCTATCTAATAATAGAGAGAAATTAAATGCCAATGTGGTTTAGGAGGATCCTTAGCATTATGAAGTTTGGAATTTTTGGGGTAGAGCCCTGGTTAAAGGTTTCCTTGAACATCACCCGATTAGGCCTCATAGTGCCAAGGCATCCAGATACTTTTGAAATTTGGTAGTAGGTCATACATACAATAAATATTTGAAGTCAATGAATTTTAAAATTTAAGCAGCGCAGAATTGACATATGGGCGGGCCTCTTAGGCGAAGTGGGGCTGCGACTGTACGTATTATATCTCGCATACTTGGGCAGCAAGTTGGGCTGCCCAGACTTCTTGTCTTTTTCTTCCGGATGACGATCACAGCCTCTCACTCGACTTCCACAGCCCCTGCTCCTGTAGGCCTTGGCACCGCTTGCGCCAGATTCGCGAGCGAGAAAATCGAAGTGACGAATCTCCAAATTAAAGTCTAACGTTAATCCAACCTCCCCCTTCAGCTGCATCCCCCACGAGATGCATTACCTATTACACACACGGCTATTGCTCCAACGGCAGGGGCTGAAACCCCTAAAACATGCCCGTCTCCTGTCTAGAGGTTTTGCGACAGTATCTGATGACCAAAGGTGCGGAGCTTCCACCAAATTGCCGCTATTATTGGAGGTGTCTGGCTGACGAATTATGTTTGTCTAAGGATAGCCTGGGCCGAGGATTTGACGTCGTAGTGATTGGCGGAGGACATGCTGGCTCGGAGGCTTGTGCTGCTGCGGCGCGAGGTGTGCTCCAACCCCCCCGTGTTGGCTCTGCAATCGCAAACTTTAGTAGGAATTGATTGCTAACCCCCGGATTTCTAGTGGGTGCAAAAACCGCCCTGGTAACCCAGAAGATCGACACTATCGGGACATGCTCGTGCAATCCTTCATTCGGAGGTATCGGTAAGGGCATTATGATCCGTGAGGTGGATGCTCT